CACACACACACACACACACACACATGCACGCACATACACAGACAGTCACATAAATGTATAATTGGTGTTATTTTATCAAACATACACATGTACGTGTGTGTATCAATAAAGTACAAATACAATGAAAAAATAAGTCCCCAAACAAACAAACAAATTAACAAACAAACACGTACACGAATTTTAATGAGAGTCATTAAATTTATGAAGCATAGAGATGTACGTGTGTGTATCATTAAAGCAAAGATAAGATGAAAACAAAAACACCAAACAAACAAACAAATAAACAAACACGCACACGGATTAACGATGGAAGTCGTTTTATGAAGCATACATGTATGTGTGTGTATCAGTAGTGGAGAAAAGGAGAGAGAAAAAAAAGCCAGAAACAGAAACAAAAAACAACCAAACAAACAAATTAAAAAAACACCGGCCCACGAATTTCTACTTGGGATCATTTCATAGAACATAGAAATACAATATCATGACAATGTACATGTGGGTATTGTGTATTGGTTTAAAAAAGATCCCTGGAAGATCATTAAAAACAGGACCATCAGAACCAAACATATCGGGCTCTCGTGGTCTAGAGGTACGCGTTCGCTTCACATTCAATAGGTTCCAGGTTCGAAACCTGACAGCAACGGCAGCATTAACATTTTTTCTCTAAAATGTTCTCTTTTCACCTCCTTTCCTTTTCTCTAGACATGTTCTGTCGTCTGCTTTCACCTCCACTTTCTCGCTCTAACCCGGCCCACCCCCGGCCAGTGGGCTCCTCTCTCCTTTGCTCCTGACTATTTTTACAAGTATTGCTTCTCCTTGCTCCCTCTTACTACTGTCTTTCAGCCACACATCCCTGATCTTAGGGTAGGAGTGACCGAATATTCGGCTTTCTCGAAAGGGCAAACAATCTCGAGGTCCCTTGAGCAAGTTGCGCACTTTAAGCTCTTTTGGTTGTTCTAAAATCGATAAGAGTAGGCTTCGGTCGCCACCAAGGCAAAATTCAAAATTGATTCATACCAAAACCTGACAATACTCTAGTCAGTATGAAGACATAATTTTGGCGGGCCGCGGGTGTATCGATACCATCATCAATACCATCACGACGAGGTATTCGCTTAGGGCAGTCGCTGTTCCCCGGACACATTTTTTCTTATTTTTAAAAATAGAGTCGCTGTTCCCCGGTGCTCCATCAAGGAACACATGTGTCATGAGTGGTTGTTTTTTCGATTCAGGAGTCTTGTCTTAACGTAGGGGACGTTAGATTTTAAAGCAGATATGTGTCTTTTATGGGAAGGTCAATTTAGAATTACGGTATAGTATCTATTTTTAACTTTCTAATTTGACTGGCAGTTTTCATTCATAGTAATTGAGTAATTAATTGTCTTAAAATCTCTTTTTGTCTTTAAGAGTGGCCTTTTATGTAAGCATAGAGGTTAATTTTTGCAAACTTTCCTGAAGTCCAATCTTTCAGCCGTTTAGTCTTTAGTATTGTATGAAGATTAAAGGTGGAAATATCCACAGAAAAGCCAATAATAAAGCCCCCCCCCCCCCCCGCCTCACAACCCCTTGCCGATTTTCCAGCTTATTTCATCTCTCTCTCTCTCTCTCTCTCTCTCTCTCTCTCTCTCTCTCTCTAACACGTGTGGGTGCCCAAGAGGAATTTTCCAAGAATGGTAGGGTCGGAGCCAAGTGGGCCAAGCGTGTGCACTAGTCACCTACATGAAACGATTGACGGGGAAAGCGCGACCGCACGCGCCCCCAAAGTGGGGGCAGAATAGAAGTAGATTAATCTATAAAGTTATTTTCTATTAGACAATCTCAAAAAGTGACCCGTAAAATTACTTTAACCCAAATCGTATTTTGTCCAGGAGTCTAACGTAACGACCTATAAGATGATGTGGTCGTACATGTCATCTGCCTCGCCTCCTGTCATGGTTTCATCCCTACAGCAAGGTGTACACAGGGTGCAAGTAAGCGAAGATTTTTATACTTCAAGAAAGTTATACACTCCTCTATCTGAGATACAAAAATGTACTAAAATAATGCTCCCAAACTTACCGGTGGCAACATTAATTAACTTAAATCAAATGAAACGTTTGGTACTGTTTTAGGGAATGCTGTCCTCGCAACAAGATTCTTCTAAAATAACTTTTTGTTATGAAATAACAAATCGTTTATAGGTTGCACTGACAGTAAAATCTGTGTGGTTGCCCAGAGATTTTGAGAACAAATTAGCTTGAGTTGTAGTTTGCTATATTATTTGAAGTAAATCAGCTCCCTGTCTGTCTCCTTTAAAGTTAACGTCACAGCTCCTTTAGCACATTACTGTGATGTTTCTGTATTTGTGTGTGTATCTAGGTGTGTGTGTTTGTATGTTTGTGTGTGCGTGTGTGTGTGTGTGTATGTGTGTGCGTGTGTGTGTGTGTGCGTGTGTGTGTGTGTGTGTGTGTGTGTGTGTGTGTGTGTGTGTGTTTGCGGGCGCGCGGGCGTGCTTATTTAAAAGACATCTTAAACATTTTCTGTTCCTACAGGCCTATCCTTCATAAGCTTTTAACGTTATCTTTCATTATATTTGTTCTGTTCCTATGTCTGGGGATGAAAATAGTCTCTCTCTCTCTCTCTCTCTCTCTCTCTCTCTCTCCTTGTGTGTGTGTATGAGTGTGACTGTATATAATAATATTTATGTGTGCGTGAGTATAATTATTACGTGAGTGCGCGTGTATGTATGCGTCTTTCACTACTCTCTCTTTCTCTCTCTTTCTCTCTTTCTCTTTCTCTCATCCCCCCCCCCTTCTCTCTCTCTCTCTCTCTCTCTCTCTCTCTCTCTCTCTCTCTCTCTCTCTCTCTCTCTCTCTCTCCCTCTCTTTTTCTCCCCCCCCCCTGTTTATTCACCGCTTCACTATCCCCAGAACTCCGGGGGCAAGTATGTCTTTCTGCTGGAATCTTCCACCAACGAGTATATCAACAACAGGCTGCCTTGTAACACAGTCAAAGTCGGGCCTAATCTAAACCTTGAAGGCTTTGGCATTGCCACTCCACATGGGTCAGACTTGAAGTAAGCCTATTTCATTCTTACTGTCTGTAGAAACTTATTTTTAAATAGCCTGAGATAATCAGTAAAAAGATTCTTAAGGACACGTAAGCGTACGATTACCGTTCCGTGTACTGTAAGCGAAGACAAGGTGTCTAAAAGTTGAAACAAAAAGGGAGGGCCATCTTTTGGGAGATAACTCGGTCATCTTTGCTTACATTTTAAACAAACTTCAAGCAAAAAAAATTCAACCACGGGGATGTTTAAGTGATCAGTATGAAGAGAATCAATCTTTGAGTTCAAGAAACTTGAAGTTTCAAATATTCAACCAAAGTTATATAACTTATAACTTATTAAAACATTCAGTTACAGAGGCGTGATCGGCCTCTCTTGGTTGCAGGACGAACAATGACCGTTATATCTAAATCAGATGTAGATCCCAACCTAACATTGAGAAATTAGGAGAAAGAAAAGGTCTCGTTTTTAAATGATTTTGTAACCATTCTACTTGATTTTTAAACTTTAAACTTCCGAAGGCCTTTCACAAAATGTCTGTGGGTGGTTGGCGGATGCTCTGGTGTAGTTTGCTTCTTCTTTCCTATCAAACATCTATCGTCCTTGTCTCCCCTTCTTCTTTTTTATGTGTGTTACTCTCTTGTAACACGTCTAATCTTCTGGTGCTCATATGACCTTATGAAGTTGCGAGCGTCGTAAAACCTCTACTAAAACTTTAAAAAACAACAAAATGTCTGACCGTGGCAGTGTTGAATATGGAACGCTACTGACATGTTAATAATTTAGGAAAAAAGCAATTGTATCAAGAAACAGCGGTCAGATCTCTGTATTTTGGATAGGCTTTTGTCAGAATGAGCATAGATGTGTGTTGCTCTTTAGAGTATATATGTATATACATTGTGACTCCAAAAGTCTTGTAATTAAATTCTTGCCAGTGGTTGAATGATACATCTGATGTGAATGTACATATTGTCAGCTTTACTTCTCTTTTCATATTGAACTTGATGAGAGTAATATAATATAAAATTAAACATTTTTAGATGTATACCTGCATGTGTTTTTACGGTCCCGTACAGCCAAGAAAAATTTCCCTCTGGGATAATAAAGCATCATCTTATCCTATCTTATCTTATCATTTTACAGATGACCAAGTTCAAGTGTATAGGAGATTGTCAGATTGGCAAAGATAAATCATGAACAGAAGTATTAGTTCAAAGCAGCCTTGGTCAGATAATTTGTGAGCGACTGCTATAACGGGGGGAAAAGGGGGTGGGGGGGGGGTGGAGGAGGTGGGGGGGGGGGGGGGGCTTGTGTTTGAGTCTGTTGGCCTTTTAAAAATATTCTTATTAACTCAGAAAGTAACATTTTGCTTTAGTCTATGGGTTATTATTAGTGGTTTTCATACATTACCCGAGAACTCATTTTCATACATGTAGTATTATTATGTACATGACAATAAATCAGACCCTGTCCATAGCGGCTACATGTTGATAATGTACACTTTTCTCTGTGATCTTGGCTGTTTGTTACGGACATGTTCGACTGTAAATGTATAACATTCCCCTTTGTTCTGACAGAGAGAGTGTAAACTACGTGACTCTTAAACTGAAGGAAGACGGCACTTTGCACAAGATGAAACAGACATGGTGGGAAGAGAAGGGAGAGTGTGGCGTGGACACTGGTAACAAGGTGAGGGGTTTAAAAGGTCATTCAACATCGTCTGATATTCGCTCATTAAAATTAAGGGTTTATTAGTACTACACGTTCAGTCGCATCTGGCAATGTTCCGTCCTTTTTGTGTTATAAGAAAGCGATACATAATGCAGAATCATGGTTTAAAAAAAACAAAATTGATATCTTCGAAATCCGCCACACCCCCCCCCCCAAAAAAAAAGGAAGAAAAAGAAAAAAAGAATAACAAGATAAAGATACAATAAAAATTTTAAAAGATAAAAAAGAGAAACGCTCTGGCTCCGAAATCGATACCATTTTTACAATATGACAGATTTCCGTGAGTTTATTCACGGACGTGTTGTAGCGGGCGAGAGGGCGACAGGTCGTGCAGAGAGGGTCCGCTAGCGGCCGCATCAAGGTTCAGGGACAGCTTTTGCTGCCAGCGACTGGGTGCATAAACAGAATCACTAAAAAGAATGATTTGCAGTAATAATAATATAGATCTAGTTTACAAACTGCTCCTTTTGAGACAGCGACCCCACCTTGCCCCCACATTTCAATGTTTACTTGAAGATTTCATCCTACGGCTGTCTAGACGTCTCCAAGTGAGTCTAGAAAAGCACTGATCCTGTCTGTTGGGTCGAGTGTATTGGCATACCATACGTGATGTTGAGGAGAATGTGTCAACCGTTTAATGCATTGTGTGAATGCTGTAAAATCCCCTATTATTTTTGTTGACCCACTTTAAAGTAACAAAAGAAAACGTGTCGGATTGTTTGCAGTGGCCTTTTTTGAACGGGTTTTTAGATTCTGTTGGTCATTCAACTTTTAGACAAGTATGCAAAGATCGGAGAAAATTAAACTGAGAGGCTTGACTTTGTCTTATTTTAACAGCTGTCAGACGAAAGTGAACAAGCTGTAGCTGTGTTTCAAGAGTTACAGTTTACAGGGCTGCCCCATGTGGCTCTAGCTTCTGCTGGAGTCTTCTATCCGTTAGTGTCCACTCCTAGAATATTTTTTTCAAATTGCTTTTTGAGCTTTACCTGTCGTGAATGTAGGTGGCTTGTTGTAAACACTTCGTCCTTGATTTTTAAAAAAATGCTTTGTGTATGAAATTTTAACATGTAGTCTAAAGTGGTGCTGGAATAAGTCAAATTTATGAGCAGCCCGAGAATAGATTGCCCTTGTTTCTCTGTCATACAGCAATATACCACACTAAGGTACTATTGTTTTTAGTCTAGCATTTATCGTGTTGTCTTTGTATCCTGGAACAATTTATTGTTAATTTTTTCAAACTATTGTTTTGAACCTTTTGTTACAACCTACCGCAATATAATTTATCTTGCCTTCATTTTGATACATTGTCTCGTCACCTGTTATTATGTCGAGGTTTTTCTTCTGACAGGAATCCAAGAAGAGATCCCTTTCCCTCAACAATGTAGCCGGAGTATTCCTGTTGCTGATTGCCGGCTTGGTGGTTGCCATAGGAACAGGCCTTATTGAAGCTCATTACATCAAAACTCAGTATCTGAAATATGCAAGTACAACTAACGCGTGATTTTCTTCTGAGTGTGTGTATTGTCTCGACATGCTTGACATTTTAACGAGCCACAAGAAGTCACTCGTCTTGTCTGTTTCGTTTCCTTAATTGGCTGGCTTACAACGGTTACTTGTGTTTCTGCTCTCGAGTGGAGCTTGGGAGACAAGGACACTCCCGTGTTCGCAAGTAGACCACTTCACACTGAGGCAATCGACCTCAATAGCAAAGAATTGAAAAAAAAGGAAACTATTTTCTCTTGTAAGCTGTCACCATAATTTGCCGACTGAAGAGAAACTGTCGGCAATCCCATCAGAGTTAATTGTTTCTTTTAACTATCTCCCTTTCTTTGCTCTCATATGACCTTATGCAGTTGCGAGCGCCGTAAAACCCTCTACTATTTTAAAAAAACACCCCCCTTTCTCTCTCTCTCTCTCTCTCCCCTGTATTTCTCTCTCTCTTTATATTACTTAATTTGTGAGTGGTTGGCGGGTGCTCTGGTGTGGTTTGCTCCTTCTTTCCTATAAAATATCTATCTTCTCTATCTCCCCTCCTTCTGTTTTGTGTTTGTTACTCTCTTGTTACATTTCTAATCTTCAGCACTTATATGACCTTATTGCGTTGCGAGTTTTGTAAAACGTTTACTAAAACTAAAAAAAATTCCTTACTTTCTCTTCAAGTCTAAAATCATAATTATTTACATATCCCTTTACCCCCTTTAGGAATGTTAAAACAACAACAATAACAACAACAACAGCAACAACACACACACACACACACACACACACACACACACACACACACACACACACTCAAACAACAACAACTACCAACAAATACCTAGCTAGTTTGTAAGAACCTTATTTAATTTTTAAAGAGCAAGAACTTATTTATTTATACCTTTTATTCAAATCCTCAGGTTTCCACACTGGATTCAAGATGTCTTCAACATGAATATTCAAATGGAGGAATTGTTAATAAATATATCCAATCTTAAAATCTCTCTTTTTCCGAGTTATATTATCCTCTCTTTGTGATCCGTTTTGGTCACGTATGGAGTTATAAGAACCTTGTTTGTAGCGCAGCCAATAGGGATTAGAATCTGTAGACGAGTCTCTACGTGAGTGAGTTTCTGCATCTTACCCAGTTCGTTATCATCGATTGCTTTTACCAGGGATTGGGCAAATGTGATTGTTGGGATGTGCTTCCAGAAAAGTACACATATATCTAGATTTTGTATTAGAACTCTGCCATGAATTGGTTTGGAATTAACTACTTGTACAGTGATGAACGGGGTGTACGAGTTTTATTGTACGCTTTATAGGCTACATGTACACGGCAACATGCGCATGGGCCAATGAACACAAGCCAGGCGACTTAACTCTAGTCTCCGCATGAGGTTGTGGTTTAAAATGTAAACAACAAGCGCGCGCACGTATATACACACACACACACACACACACACACACACAGAGAGAGAGAGAGAGAGAGAGAGAGAGAGAGACAGAGAGCAGTCACCCCGTGAGATATCGCCAATTTGTCTGGATAGTTTACACAGTCGGTACAGTATGACGTTGTAGTGTCTATTGATTCTTGCAGAATTGTTATTCAACATAACACAGGCATGGCATTAATTTGACACTGATATTGATAACGAATTTAAAAGCAAATGCGCATAAAAATCAAAGAAATTGTTTTGCTTTTGCCTAATCACTCCACTCTATCACGGACTGATGGAAAAATATTTGGTGCGGCATAAATCTCTGGACCCGCTCCCCCCCCCTCCCCCCAAACCCCCCCAGCCTCTTGAAATCAAGCACACGCATCGATCCTTGAGTGAGTGGGGGCCCACGTTCGGGTCTTGTTGGGCCCGTTTTCTCTATCATATTATCTTGCATTGAACCTCCAAAAATTGCTGCTCATGAGGCTGATACATGTATCAAACGTACGCCCGGCTCAAAGCGCAACCCGGGTTCAGCAATGTGGGCTCCACCTTTGTTTAACCATCAGACAATAAAAAACAAATAATTTGTAAAAATGCGTGTTTGACTTCCAGCTCGTTAACATCACAACATTTACCCAGACAGTCATACTAAACACCTCGCCGGTGTGATATTCTTGGCCAAGGGTTATTTTTTTTAACACGAACGCTGTAGTGACACATGAGGATATCGGCACTTTGGTTATTTTCATGAACGCAATAGTGACAGACAAATAAAATTCTGTCTGTGGACTATTTGGCTATTCTTTGCTAATGGGAAGAAAAAGATAAATAAAATGCATGACCAACAGTCTGTGTTTCTGGTCTAAACCATGATTTCTTAAAAGAGACACCTTCACCCATACATTATTTTCAGTGAGCTGTTAATGCATCCAAATTAATGGTTTTTACAACTACCTGAATATGGGAGGACCTTTGGATCTTCCCAAGACACCCATTGCTTCTGAATGGTTCTATAACATGTGGCTATCTCAGAATTACAAAGTTCTATCTGCTTAAGGCCTAGTTTTGAGAAAATTGACGTAAAAAGTTTTGAGTTTCAAAATAATAGGTCAATTTTTAAAAATGCAATTCTTTGAATATCTTGATAACAGCTATGAGCTAAGAATAATTGTACATGTACTATTTTGATAGAGCAGACAGAGCACTTGATTTCTGATCTCATAGTATTAGTAACTCAACTCAAACCGACCCAAAATGTCAGCTGATACAACTTTGTATTCTGAGGTAGCGATGTAATGATCTGTGTTTTGAAGACGATAACTCTCTTTAAAAATAATAATAATAATGATAATGCAGGCGCATTTCAAAACAAGCATCATGCAAACACCCCCCCC